TGTGTGTGGGACTCTGGGCCTGGGATGTGATCTCTGGTAGAGGCTGTAAATATGGGGAGAGGAACAAGTGTTCCCCCAAAGCGTGTGGGTTCTGGGATGAAGAGGGGCATAGAAAGACACCACTGCCTGCTTTCTTATATAAAGATACATGATGACCTCTGAATGATCACGTGAAGATACATATGAACTCTGAATTTCATATGAACTTGAACAAATACTTTACTGGCAAAGAAAATTATGAATGTATAGGGTCGGAAAATCAATTTGAACCGACATTTATTTGATGCAAAAGTACGTGTAAACATTATGCTAAGTGCGATGGAAGAGAAAAGTGCATCATCCCTGATACTGAAGAGACTCACCACAATATCAATAAATTAGCATGTGTTGAGCACTATCTTAAGTACTTTCTGGGAATTAATTCATTTAACCCTCAGTTCCCTGCACTAAGAAGTGTAATTTCCATTGAAGGTATAACTAGAAGTGGTTCAAAATTGTTCACTGTATCAGGAACACACACGCACACACGCACACACGCACACACACACACACACACACACACGGTTCAACAGACCTGAATATTGTCCAGGGAGAGGATATTGGGGTGGGATGTTAAAGACAGATGAAACATCAATGATGAACATTAGAGGATGAAAATTTCAAACAGCATAAAGGTGTCAGGACGTGGGCAGGAAGTACAGGCACATTAAAACTGCCAGAGTACAGAGACATAGCAGAATGAAGCACAGACCAGACAGGACACCAAATTGTAATTATCATATGGAGAAAATCCATGTACCTCACTGAATCTGCATACATTGGTACACCATCAAGGAATTTATGGTAATTAAATGATCTACGTTTTGATTGAGCTATTAGAAACATGACTTGGTACATAACACAAAAGACAGAGGTGGATGAGAGAAACATCAGAGGCCAAGTCAATACAAGTCTCAGTTGAGCATGGTGGCAAAAATGTCCAGGATTATTTCCTAGACTAATTCTAGGATGATGACACTGGACAATTCATATACTCAGTCTGAGCCTTGGCTTTCTTGTTCATAAACATTAATAACCATACCACTTATTTCATAGCATCATTGGGGAAATGAGGATGGTCATTGTTTTGTACAGTGAATACAAGCTAATGAAAATTTTCCCCAAAAATTGAGAAGACAGTACACTGGAAAACACAACTGAACCTGAATCTTCCCCAAAATAACTTCTCAAAGTTCAATCAGCCTTTGAAGATCTCTGGGAGTAAGTGAAGCTCATGTCATCCCGACGATGACAATGGTGAGGACAAGGAGAGAGACACTCCTTTTGACAACTCTATCTGTTACTCTTCCCACTGCTGTGACTAAGTATTCAATCAAGGCCGCTTTGGGGAGGGTGTATTTGGTCTCATGAATTGAGGGAAGAGACCATCATGCTGGGACAGTCACAGCGGCAGGCACATGAGGCAGCTGGTCACACTGCATCGAGTCAGGAAGCAGAGAGCAGAGTGAAACTGCTGCTTAGTTTGTCTTCTTACTCAGCCTAGGGCCCCAGCCTGTGGGCTGGCGCTGCCCACATTCAAGATGGGTATTCCTACCTCCCTTAACTCTGTCTAGAAAATCCTTCACAGCCCCATATGTCCAGAGCTGCCTAGGTGGTTCTAGATCCCGTCAAGTTGACAGTTGATAGGAATCATCGCATAAACCAATTCCAATAACTAAGTAGCCAGAGTTGGATGAGATGAAGTGAACTTTACGATAATGAAACCTTGAGTTATCACTCTAGCACACATCATGACAATTACCTTAAGGGCTGTATTTATACCCTCTAATGATCTCTATTTTCTTATCTGTAAAATGTGATTGATAACACCTATGTCATGAGACATAGAAACAGCTGACACCATGTGCAATATGTGATGATAACAGATAGCTACTACATAATATGCATCAATGAAAATCAAGTGCAAGTTGTACTTGCACTTAGGCAGAAATACTGGTAGAGACAGAGATCAGAGACATCTAGATGCTATCTGACACTTGGCAATTCTAGAGACCTCATCCATGAAGGAATTGAACATTCCTTTGCAATAGAGCCAGATGTGTTCTCCCAACATAGGTGACTCCTTAAAGACCGTCCATTGGGTTGTTTAAGGATGACATGAATTAAGAATGCAGCTGCACTGTACAGTGAGGGGAGAGCAACATGGAAAAACAATAGCTTCTGAATGAAGTGTTCTCCCACCATGTCTTAGAACATGGACTCTATCACTAAGACACAATGAAGGCAAGACTTGGCTGCACATAGGGGGCATAGTCACAATATGTCATAAATCAAAGAGGACAGAAAGAATGCCAGGAAGGAACACATGTGCACACTCCTCCTCCTCTATTAGGACTGGAAGCACCTGTATGCATGCTCCTGGCCTACCTTTCCAGATATCAGAATACAGAGGCAATGAGCTGTTTCTGTAAATGGCCTATCTGAGTGTGGCACAAACAACTCCAAAACAGCCCAGTGCTCGGGCCACTGTCTTGGTCCTGAAGTCCTTCACTTTTTTCCTAGAAATTTTTCAATTGTTCCCAAAGATTTAGGTTTGGTTTTGTTTTACAAATATCCATATTTTACTAAGACCACCAAAGGAAACAAAATTGCCATTAAGATACTCCGGTTGCAACGTGCATATGTCTCCCGTCCTTGGCCTCTGGAGGCACAGCAGGCAAGTGTACACTGGAGATATTTTACAGTCACAGTGACATTTTGCCCCACTTTTTCTTGCTTATTTGTTTTTCAGTAACCTCAACCTGTCACCTCTCCTTTGTCAAACTGTCAATGCATAAGAGGTCCTAGACTTTGTACTCAGGCAGAAGAGTCTCTCTTGCAAACCTACCTGGCCACATTCTCACCAAAATGAAACCAAAGGCTATTTACTGTGACAGTACTCACCTCTTTTTTTTTTAATTTTTATTTTATTTCCCTGAAACTAAAGGGAACTGTTGGGGTTAGCATATTTGATATTTGGGGATTAAAAGCTATCCTCATTCTTTCAGTACCTTAGCATTTTCAAGAAATGAATATTCAGGGAGGCTCATCCATCCCAGATGGAGTAAGCTGGACCACACCCTTCCATTTAGCAGCAACAGTGTTCATCTGAAAGGTATCCACAAAGCACATTCCTGCATCCATTCTTCATCTCCTTGGGCACAAGCATTTCCAAAGATGGGAAATCTCTCCAGGGGCATTGATGAAATGTGATGCATGGTACCCACTTTAGGTTGATTCAGCTGACAACAGCTCAACTGTTTGTAGAGAGATGGTGAGAGGAGATACTGAAAATAGTTCATTCCTCTAGGTGGGTGGGAACACCATAAAGCAATATATAAAGAGTTACCAAGGATTGGAGGATGTCTCTTCCCCTGGAACTTCTCAAAAACAAAACAGCCACTCTTGTTTGAAAAACAGCAGTCATCTAAGTAAGTGTGTGTGTGTGTGTGTGTGCGTGTATGTGTGTGTGTGTATGTGTGTGTGTGTTATAAGTGTGACTAATTTTGGAGGTCAGCTCCTCTCTAGAATAACAGGAAACCCATCATTCTGAAAAGTCAAGGAGTCACCTGTTGACTGGAGGAAAGTATAGGCAGGAGCATGCACCCAAAAGGCAATGCATACACAGAAACCTCTTGGTGGGGGCTTTTGGAATTTTATAACAAAAATCTCAGCCTATGTGAAGGGGCAAAAATGAAAGAGAACAGCAGATCTCTAGAATGGCCTCCTAGCTATCTGGCTGCAGAACATGCCATGGAGAAGATGCTGAGAGAGGATGGTTAGCCACTGCAAGCCTGGAAAACCTTCCTGTCTGGGCTCTTCCTCCTTTAGATTTCAGCATTTCCACCTGCCTTTCCTAAGCTCCTCCCTACACTCACCATTGGGATCTCCCTGTCACTTAGCAGAGTATGGATTGGACAATTTGAGCTCTATAATTCCAGGGAATGATTTCACGTGATCTCAGAAGAAAACTTAGGGTTGCAAAGGTGAAAGGGGACCAACACGCAGCTGAGGAAGACTTTGGAACCAGAAGGAGTTCCTGGCTGAAGGACACACTACGTGCCTGAGAAAAGAAACTCAAGTCTGTTTCTCAATCAGTCTGGAAACTGCTGATACCGAGGGCCAAGGCAGCTCAGGGAAGGCCGAGGTTTCCAGAATGGTTTGAGACTGAGGTGGTAAGGCTAATTGACCTGGCCTGCCTGCCTGCCAAGCAGTCTGCAGGAGAGGGCAGGAAAGACAGACACAGGGCACTCTGTTCTAACTACAGTGAGTGAAGGGTCACGCAGCACTACTGAGTGGCCCAAGTGGGTCTCATATAAGACATCTCTGCCACCATTTCCCCCAGAAGGATGAGCAAGCCAGACAGCCAACTCCTAGCAAGGATGCTTGTAGCAGGGTCACTGCCACAAGCAGCGAATATGAGCAGTTAGGTGTAGCCGCCTTCAAAAGGCGCGATTTGGCTAATTCCATTTAATCCCCATCCCCATCCTCAGTGTCTCTCAGCCAGAAGAAGCGAGTTAACTTACAAGGAGTTTACGCCTCGCTGGAGGTTGGGGGAAGGGAGTGGTTAGAGCAAGCAAGAAGATAGAAACCTTTTGAAATGAAAAATTGCTTTCCGTTAATAATTTAGAAAAGTCAAGATAGGTAGCAGAAGGATGTCCAAGAGACAGCTCATTTTTGAATGTGCCTGGCATGTTAGGCAAGGGGACGACTCACAAAATACGCGATTCACAAACGTGTTCACCTGTCAACTAGGGAAGAGAAAAACAAACAAGCAGGGAGGGTCAGGGAGGCAAAAATTCAGACTCCAGAGGCTTCCATCTCCCTCACCAGGGTCCCCAGCCCCGCCCCAGAAGTCCTTCAGGTGAGGCGCACTTGCCAAGTGGTGGGGACCCTAGCGGTGGGTCAGGAGTGCTCACCACCGCCAGGGGCAGCCCCTGAAGGACACACCCTCTACCTACCTCCAGCATGGAAGAGGCGCCCTTGCTCGGCAGCGTGCAGCCCAGAAGCGCCGCGAGAAACTTTGCCATATACGAGGTGGGAGGCCCGGTCCCCCTGGCGCTCGCCACCTCGGTGCTCGCCCTGCTCCTGAGCTGGGATGGGCAGGGCAGACCTAAGCTCGTGGACCCACCCGAGCGGGGGCGGGGATCCGCCCGCAAAGGCTGTCCAGTCAGGGGTCTTCGGACCTGCCGGTTGCTTGCCTCTGCCGCCCCGGAGCTGTCCCGGTGAGAGAAGCAGCTGCGGGCGCCCCAGCCTCCACGCTGCCGCGGGGAGCCCCGCTGTGCTAGCGGGTCCTGCTGAATGTCACCGGCGCTAGTAAAGGGAAGGGCCCCGCCGAGGGGGAGGCGGGAGGGCCAACGGCGCACGACCCGCAGCGGTGCCCGGGCAAGGGCGGCGGGCACAGCGCGGCGACGCAGCAACAGACCCGCCCGCCTCTGGGTAGTGGTGCAGGCGATGCCCGGAGCTCCACAGAGAGCGTGTGGCGAAGGTGGGAGGGGCTGTTCACTGGGGTCGCCTGGGTGACCCACTTCCGTAGTTTCTGCCTGATTTGTGACAATGCAGGTGGGAGAGGAGGGGGTCCAGGTCCACTGACACTTGGTGAGTTATCAGGACAAAATGCAAGCATTTCACAAGGACTGTCCTCCGGCCAGCGCCAGCCCCACCCTTCCTGTGGGGAAAGCAGAGGCTCCAACACTGGAATGAAGACCCCCCCCACTCCTGTAACATGTGAGCCCCGACTCACAACTAAGCCCCAAAGAGGAGCAGGGACTCCCAGACTCCCCTGCAGGTGGTGTCAGGTGGGGGTTTGCAAAACACTGCCCAACTGTGCCAAGGCCAGAGGTTCAGAAATAATAGCAGGAACCCTAGAAAAGGCATTACACCTCCGATTTTATATACAAAGTATGCGAGCGGAAAGTCTTAACTATTCGTCACACTCAGGATACTCGGGGCACACTGTATGCAACCACAAAGGCTGTAAATGCTTGTGGGGTGGGGGAGGAGGGCAGAAAATCGGTGCTTGGACGGTTGATGGTGAAATGTGAGGCTAGATTTCCCCTAACTCACTGGTACAGTGAATACAACCTCAGGGAGTGTCTTCATTAGAGTTTTCATGGCTGTGAAGAGACATGATGATCATAGCAAGTCTTATAAAGGAAAACATTTAATTAAGGGTGGCTCGCTTACATTTTCAGAGGTTGGGTCCATTATGATCATGATGGAGAACATGGCAGTGTGCAGGCAGATGTGGTGCTGATTGCTGAGAGTCCTACATCTTTCAGGCAACAAGGAAGTTAACCGACTGTCACACTGAGGGAAGCTTGAGCAAAAGAGACCTCAAAGCCTATGTCCACAGACATCCTTCTTCCAACAAGGATACACATCCTAATAGAACCACTCCCTTTGGAGTCCATTTTCTTTCAAACCACCACATTCCACTCCCCAGCCTCCAAAAGCTTGTGGCCATATCACAATGCAAGAAAGCATTCAGTCCAATTTCAAAAGTCCCCAGAGTCTATCACAGTCTCAAACTTGTTTCAAAGTTCAAAGTCTCTTCTAAGGCATATGACAATCTCTTAACTATAATCCCCTGTAAAAATCAAAATCAAAAAGCAGATCACATACTTCCAACATACAATGGCACAAGATATACATTACCACCTCAAAATGCAGGGAAGGGAAACCAGATGGGCAAACTCCAAACTGCATCTCCATATCTCATGTTAAAATGCTCGTCAGTTCTCCATCTCTGTTCTGCTCTGTTGACTGCAACACACTTCTTTCTCTTGAGCTGTTTCCATTTCCTGTTAACAGTGCTCTTCGTCAGGCATCCCACAACTCTGGCATCTCTAACATCTTGGATTCTCCGAAGCAATCCAGGCTTCATACAATGACCTCTCTACTAGGCCTCCATTCAGGGACACCACTCACACACACCTGGCCTCAGCAGCTTTATTCCCTAGCTCCTTTCTTCTATCCTTAACTCTAAAGCCAGAACCACATGGCCAATGCTGCCAAAGTTCTGCTGCTTACTGGGGCTGGAACATCTTCACCAGCTTTCTGGTTTTGATTGTTACCTTCATTGCCTAAGCTTGGCTGTCCTGAAACTTGCTCAGTAGGCCAGGCTACTCAGAAACTGCCTGCCTCTGCCTTCCCAGTGCTGAAATTAAAGGTGTGCCTCACTACATCCAGCTCCAAGCTTTCCTTTAATTCCTTTTCACAAGTTGGAAACTTAGCTGGGTGGGATCTTGCCCTGAAGTCACCACTCACTCCCTTTATTCCATTTCTTAATCTGTTTATCTTCTTGAACAATAAGCTACTTTTTATAACTCATGCTGCTCAGCTTGCTCCTTTTTGCTATAAATCTTCATTAGAGTTACCACTAATATCCATATAACAGACTCTATACTGGGCTATTTTTAGATTTCTTCTGCCAATGCAATTAATCCAAAACTCTTCACTTTAGCCTCAGGCAGACTCTTCAGACAAGGGCAAAAGGAAGACAATTTCTTCACTAACATATCACAAGAATGACCTCTAGGTACTATACCAAAATTCGTTTCCTCTGAAAGCTCTTGAGTGAGCTCCAACAGTTCAAATAACTCTTAGCACCTCTGTCTTCCATGCTCCTTCTAGTAATGCTCAGAAGTGCTTAAAGCATTCTACTGCTACCCAAAGTCCCAAGGTCCATATTCCTCCAAAGAAAAGCACGGTCAGTCCTATCATAGCAATACTCCAGTCCCTGGTACCAACTTCCGTCTTAGTTAGGATTTTATTGCTCTGAAGAGACACCAGGACCATGGCAACTTTTATAAAGAAAACATTTAATTGGGGCTTGCTTACAGTTTCAGAGGTTCAGTCTATTGTCATCATGGTGGGGAGTATGGCAGTGTGCAGGCAGATGTGGTGCTGGAGTTGAGAGTCCTACATCTTGACCTAGAGGCAACAGGAAATCAAATAGGGATTCACTGGGCGATATTCTGAGCATAGAAAATCTAAAAGTTTGCCCACACAGTGACACATTTCCTCCACAAGGCTATACCCACACCAACAAAGCCAGGACTCCTAATAATGCTTCTCCCTATGAGTTTATGGGGGGGCATTTACATTCAAACCACCATAGGGAGAAATGAGAGGTATCATTCCAATACCATGTCACACTGCTTCTCAAACATTTTCTGTCAAGTACCTTCCACCATAAAAAAAAAAAAAACTGATCAAGAACATGGTTTATTTAAAACCTAGTTTATTTTATAGTTTTCCTATAAATATATGTATTTTTAAAACCTATGACATATTCAGGCTGCCTATGTTTCTTATCTTCACTTCCTCCATCTTCCAACAGCAACTGCACTAAGTCCTTCCAAGATTCAAAGCTGTCTGGCTTCGTCTTTTGCCAACAGCCAGAGAAAACATTTGCATTTAAGGTCAATCCTAGAACCCTCCTATCTGTGGCCAACCCATTGGACGTCATCATTACATCTCATGCAATGTCAACTACAGAAATGATACCAAAGATGAGTGACCACAAGAAGTGTACAGACGCCTCCTACCAGAGGCTCATTTTTATGAATAAACAGAGGATATAGTTAATACTGCTTTATTTTTGTCATACCTATAAAAAGAACTTAAAGGTTGGCTATTGGATTTTTTTTTTTTTTTGTACATGTGGTCTCTTCAACACAGCACCAGGAAAAAAGACAGATAACAGTCATTTGGAAGAGTGAGACCTGAGACAGAAGGTGGCAATAAGAGACAGAATATCACAGTAGCTTGCAGTACACTACTAGCTGGCAGTTGTGACAGAGTACTAGATCTAACCAGCCTTGGTGGATTCTCCACCTATATGTCTCCTTGTGATCTAGACTCATCCCTCCCAGGAGCTCTCCTTCTTGTATCCTCTCTTCCTTGATACCTTGCATCTGCAGCATCTGGAAGAAATAAAGACTTGTGGAAGCCAGTTATGCGCTGACCCAGTCTGAACATCACAAGCATTATGTAGGGCCATGCCCTGCTTAGGATCACCACCATGTCTATTTCTTGCTGCCACTGGTAGAGCAAGGACAGGGACCCAGAACAAAAAGAAAAAAGTTACTAAGAAAGGGAGGGAGGGACGGAGGGAGGGAATAATGCCATCTGTACCTCTTCTCCTTTGAAGATGGGCTGCAGGAGCATTCCCTAGAGAGTTGTTCTTATTTTAATTCAGTGTTTCACTTTTTAGCATTGATCCTAAGAGGAGCAATCAGAGAATTAATCTATGAATGCATTTGAAAGTGTTCCCAAATGTAGGGTTGAGTCTTTCCTACCAGTGTAGTGCACACCAGAAAAAGAGGTAGACCAAGAGTTGGGTGTGAACTCTGCTGTTACAGTGAGGTTTCCTCCAGCAAGGCCAAAGCTCAGATTCCTTGCCTAAATAGAGCTGCTAACAATACATACCTCACAAAAATTCAATTAGTTAATGCTATTACCTTACATTAACTTATTATAATGACTATTGAATTCATATCATTTTCATAACAATATCCTCAAAGTACTTGGACTTGAGTAATAGGAATAAATGTTATCTACTAGAAGGATTATGATTAATCATATATGCTTACCTTCTGGCTCTGAGTCAGGGCATACAATACTCAATAAGCACTGATAATTCAATGGACCAATGGACAAAGACCCTTGTCACAGCATTATAAACCCAAATATGCAAGCCATATGAAGTCCAACCTTTAGAGATTGGTTTGATGCGTTATGGTTCACATGTTTGAAAAGAATATTCAAATGGTCTAAAAAATGTCTTTACGATGCCAGCAAGTGACAGCAAGCACTATATGCAGTGTATCTTATGCCACAGCAAGTTTGCAAGTAAATATGGTAAAATGGAGAAAATATAAGAAATGGCAGTCATAGTTTCCTGGAATTGGGGATTACTGTTCACTTTTTTCACACGTTCCTGAATTTTTTTAGATTTCCTGAAGTGTACCCGAACATAATCCCAGTCAAATGCTCCCTTCTGGTCCTGTGAAATAAGAACTCAGGTATTTACAAAGTGATTGCAAGTTAATCCTAACTTAAGATCTCATCACTTCAATGAAACATTTAGAATGTAGCCAGTAATACCACTAAACTT